GGGTTTCCACTCAACGGTTTCAAAAATTATTTTAAAAAAATTCCTGAATAAGTATTTTTTTTTTTTATTTTCATTACAGTTATCAGCTTAATTGGCCACATTTTGGTACAGTGCAGTGATTCATATATTTTTATTTTATTTTTACACGGATTTTGGTACTTGGTACTTGAGTGCAATATGAGGCATGGATACTGGTTTTCCTTTCATGAACTTAAAATTCTTTATAATATTTGATGATTATTTTATAGGCTACATGTATAGCAGGGGTTTTTCTAGAATTAAAAACTGCAAGAGGGAGCACTGCAAATCAGCGGCGCCACCAAGTGGGGGAGATGGGGTTCTCCTTACCATGGTGTGGAATTTTTGATAATTCTAAGTTAAAATGGAACATTCTATGGCTTCCTTCGGGCCAAAATTACTATAAGGCAGGTCATAGTTGAAGACTATCTGCCCCCAGGGTAAGGGAGCACATGGCCGTGGCATTAGGGCGCTGGCATTGTTCATTGTTTTCGAGTATGGCAGGTGTCGGCCCTTTGAATTTCGTCTTTACTCTCATCAAAATGATAATGTAACATTTTATAGATTTTTAAGAACTTTTATGTACTCTATAATTTCTTTGTTAAGTTTTTATTAAATGGAAACATTTTTTAATTGTTCTTGGATCAACATTTTTTTGAAAACAAAATGTGGAAAAAGTTATGCAAGTTTATATTGTGAAAGATGAACAACTTTACTTTGACATTCAGAGAGGGATGACTTAATGATTTGTTGAAATTTGTACATTAAGAACAGTCATGGCAACGAAATATCCAGGAAATTATTCATGTGTCTAAAGTGTAATCTACATAACATATTGGGCAATGTACATATATGGTAATCTTGTAGAATCAATGCATTCCCAGAGTTCATTCCTCTCTGAATCAAAGATGGCTGCTTCAGTGAGTGTATATTTCTTCAAAATCAAAGAAATATTGCTTGAAATTTTGTACCATATTTTACCAATAATGTGTAATCCGTCCACAGACATATTTAAACTTAGAAACGGTTTATTAAAACAAATGCGTGCGAAAGAAGCTGTTGTTTTTCAGTCTAACTAGACTGATCCTGGACTAGAGCAAGCAAGTTTGTTTGTTTGTTGATACATGTCGTCTTTCCTCAGTGATTGATTCAAGACTATTTTATGTTGTATTTCACTTGCAATGTAACCAGCAATTCCTGACAGTTTAAGAGATTATATTTTGCACAAATATTATCAATTTAAAAAAAATTGAGGAATTTATTTTAATACTATATACTATATGTATTTCAAAATTGTTTCAATTTGTAAGAATTAGGAAAGTTTCCAAACTTGTGTTTCGGTGTATTCTTCCCACTTGTTGATTATTTCATCTAATTTTACGATCATAAAAACAATAGATTTAATATTAATCATATATTTATAGGGAAATGTACATAATATATTCAATAAAAATAAGCAATTATGTGTTGTATAGTATAAAATATTATAGTTTGTTCTAAGTGCCTAGGGAGCTCAAGTCTTGAGTGCTCAACGATATCAATCAATCCATCCAACTGTTTTATTTATATTATAAGTTGAAGGCAACATAAATATAGATATTAAACTTTCTGTCTGTGAGACATAGAGGGCGCTCTTACAAAGTAGGCTGCTGTATCTGGCACAACTAATGTTATACAGTCAAAGTTCCAAGTTTCCGAACAAAACATGGTACTTTACAAGATGCATCAGATTTATGTCAAATGTGACAACATGATTTGTTAAGTATTTATTTTATGGTATTGTTAAGCACGAATTGCTCTAAAGAATCCTCAGCGTATCTGAATCAGCAATTTTCTGGTAGAAATTGAGTTTAAATTTGTACAGATTCATGTGGAATACCAAAAAAACATAAAAGTGTTGCAGTAATTCTGAACAATGGTGACTTCTGGCACTAGTTAGCTGGTGTGTAAGTGAAAATCAAATAAATGCAATTAATCAAATGTTCCTGGCAAATCCTCAGATATATCCTGCAATTCAGTACAAATTCACACACTATCAAACATGGTTTGAAAATGCTGATAAGCTTAATAGTTTTCTGGTACAAATTTAAATATAGTTGTGGAATTAATCAATGAGTAATGTATTGCATGTGATGCTAATTCTACAGAATTTTTTATGACTTTTACATCAGCACTTGTTGTAGTCATATCCATCATAATAGGTGATTTTCCGAACAATTGCGAGATCTCGCGAGATGCATGAAAGACGCGCGTCGAACGTCTGCCGCAAAAATCGAACGATTTGATTTTGAACTAGAATTTCTTTATTTCGCAGCTTACATTGACCGGCCGATCTTCCACAGAGGAATATTGCTTACGAATACCCTCACTTAATCGAAATTGCCTATCATCAAATGTGGACAGCACATTATTAAGCATGGAAATGTCCCCGAAATACTTTCGCGGTTGTCGAATCCCACGCGATGTTTGACGCGACTACGACGCTATGACCTTTGTTTGTCCTGTTTTTACATTCGATTTCACGCATAACGCGTGATTCTCGCAATGTACAGAAAATGGTCTATTGGCGACTTACACATTGTACTAGTATGTAGCAAATGGAAAATGTATTCTTAATTGTGCACATGCGAAAATTGAAATAAACAATTTGTTTACTGTAATTACACATGAAAAGAAGTGTATTTATGTAAATGAACAGTAAAATTCTGTTGCATTTCAATTATTTAGCAAACAGTAAATGTATTTTTTGTTTAAGTACACTTAGAACAAATAAGGTACAAGTGTTAGAGTATGTATCAAGATGTGCAGCTTCTAGGATTGGAGAATGTTTAGAACAATCTGTGCCCGAAATGTTACAGATTGCTAAAATTTTGAAGGAAAATTTCATGTGATAAATGTAGGTTGAATCATATGTACATATAGTGTGCCATCGTACATAATTGGTGTGGAGTTTACGTTGCAATATTGTCTTATTTCTGGCAACCTAAAAATGTTAGTACAGTTTAACGTCTTGTTTCAAGCACAACGTGGTTTCATGCTAAATTGCTACATATTAAGGTTAATAAAATCACCAAATTACGATTTTGGTCAATATATAGTACAACACTGATGAAATTGCATTAGTATGTTTGCTGCCCTCTCTGGTGGAAGTAGGAATTCTTTCAGATTCTTGGAACTGGTCAAAAACTTTCCCACCAGGTTATTAGCAGCTCAGTTTAATAGCAGTGAATCATTGAAATGAGGAATTTTTGTTTTTGTATCGCATGTACAGAGTTCACTCATGTCCATTCCTAGTCAGTTTTGCAGATTTTTCAGTGCGATTTTGAAGCATGCATGCAATTGAACGACTTTCATTGACAGTCTCTATTCCCTTTTTTGGATGTCAAGTTGCATTCTACCTTTTCAGACTAAATAACTTTTAGCACGCTGAAATCTGGTCAACTATAATGAATTCACGAAATCATTTTTCATTATAGGGGCAATTAAAAACCAATCCAAATATCTCAGTACAGGTATATGCAAGGTTTATCATTTACATCATTGGTTGGGGAGGGCAAGAATGTTTTTTTTTTTTAAATTTACAAATTCTTTAATGTGACCAGTGTTGAATTGACAGGATAAGGATGGTAATATATCAAATCTTGTTTTCAATGTACTTTTAAGTGTGAAGTGAATTTGATTTTCCTTTCATCTTATTAATAAAAATGTTTAAAATGTATTTTTGTTTCATTTTTTTTCTCAAAAATATTGCTTTACCAGTAGGAACATTGAATGTCAGTTGCCTCTCCGGACTTGTGTTCAACCTGTAAATGGCAGACACGTCATCTTCCATTGTAATGGTAAAGTTAAGTGGCATCAACCATGCCTGCTGGCCTTAGTCTTTTCACCACCACACTTCCTTGCTCAAATTTTTCTGCATTTTAATTCTTATATTCTTTAATATTTCTGGAAATGAACCCCAATTTTGAAGCCAACAGCAAAATCTGAATCAACTGGGTTTTTTTGTTCTAATCTTAAAAAAGTGCTGATTATAAAGGACTATTCCATGAATTTGTGATAAGAAGAAACTGTTTGTGAAAAGATTAAGCAAGTTGCCCCAAAGTCACAACTGTCAGTGAATGATTCTTGGTCAATACATGTAGCTTTGGTCTCCTCATTGGCCTCTTTTCTAATTGCAGGTAGGATTTGATCTTAGCTGCATCTATTCAATCCAAAAAGCACTTTTCTACCAGAGGTTGTGACCAATACAATTAAAGAAGAAATGCACAGCTAATGGTCACCTTGATTATATTATAGATTCCAGATTTTATTTCTATTATCCATAATAAGAAACAGGTATGCATTCAAAAACACCAAAGTGACAGCTGCTATTCACAAACAATGCCCCTATATATTTGATTGAAACTATGCCAAATTAAGTCTGTGAGGTGGAAAACTGATCTTGTAGTGAAGTATAAAACGGATTTTGTAGCAAGGTATTTACAGAATTGTACATAGAACATATATAGGGCATTGGATTCCCAAGATAGGACATAATTTACAAATCTAATGGATTTAATATCACGATTTGAATAAAATATTCATACAAGACTAATGTGATTTCTATTATGAAATAATCATAAAAACTAATCATACAGTTGAAAATGAATTGGTTCAGAGCATGGTGGAAATGTCTTCCAGTGCGACTACCTAACAGTCTAAGCATATCAAGCATTATTTTTATTGAAACAATAACAAAATTACTAATTTGCTTTCTCAAAATACTTCTTGGATCCCTTCGGGTCTGGTTTGATCTGAAAGAGAAATGATAGAAGATCAGCTGCAGTAATGATTGACTACCTAGGCAGTTACCAGACCACTTAATTTGACATGTGCAACCCATACCCCCACAGTAACTATAGCGACCCTAACCACCACAGTAACTATAGCGACCCATACCCCCACAGTAACTATAGCGACCCAAACCACCACAGTAACTATAGCAACCCATACCCCCACAGTAATTA